CAGAGGATCTAACCTTTGCACGTGGCATTGTGCAGACTCCTGTTCATACAAAAAATTATGTTATTAGACCTTTTTCCTCTGGTAAAGCAAAGTGGATTTCAAGTAAAGCAATGGAATCAGTCATGTCACTAGGTAAGGAAGAATGTATGTGAACAAAGAATCAAGAATACATTTTAAGACATAAATCTAATCCCTCACTGTAATTATCAGTGTCAAATTCAGTGTGTGCCACTTGAAAGCATTTTTAAATCTCGTCTCTTCAATACAAGAAGATTTTATTTTCCTTTTTAATCCCAAATCTCAAAAGTAGTTTTATTGCTGTTAATCACTGTCTAAGGCATTGTTCCATCTGGACAATACTTTTTCCTCAATCTATTAACAAAAACCAGACTGGCAACACTGAAAATGAGCGAGACATTAGCTGCCTAGAAGTAGTAACATGTCAGAGGATAATAATTTTTTGAATAATTTACGTATCTCTCATTAAGCACAGCAAAGAGAAGTTCAAGCCTATTTTGAGAATCAAAAGATTTAACAAGATTCCCCACCCATGTTTCCCCCTCCCTGATTCATTAGTTGCTGCAGCAGCCTCAAAAACTTTTTTTTTTTGTTTTAGTTCTTGTATTTAGCATGCACAATAAAAGCAGGCTAGTTTTGCCTCAATCTGGTTTCCATTATCAGAATGAAACTTAATTGCAAACACTTTGTTAACTTCTACTAAAAAGGGGTTTCTAAGCCCAACGGCTTAATTAAAATTAATCCTTAAACCCACATGCAGTTTACAAAAAGAACTTCAGATCGCTCTGAACTGAAAGCATCCACCCCCGAGGACTTTCCCCGTTAATAAAATCCGTTAATAATAATAATAAAAAAGAAATCACAAAATTAGAACGTCAGATTCAGATCCTTATTTTCCTGGCTTAACCTGATGAGCTGCCACTTAACGCACGGAACAGCAAAGCAGCTTTTTCCGATGCACAAGCTCGGCTTTTCCATTTTCACAGTGGAAGCTGAAGAGCCATCCCCGCACAGAGCAACAAAGCACATGAAACTGGGTGTGTTACAATAACCGTGGAAGCCAGCCTGAGCTGGGAGCCAAGGCTCCGAGCTCTCCATGCCGACTTTTACACACCCTTGGAGAACCAGTCTGCTAGCAGCCATCACCGCCCATGCCGTTTCGCTCTCCGACACGGCGAGCCAGGTTTGTGCTACTCGGTGGCATTAATTTTAGTTTGACAGCAGGTCTGGGAGCACATGCTTTGCTACAGACCACTCGTGTGGCATGCCGTCACCGCCAGGGATGTGATCCCCTGTCACACACAGGGTGACACACCAGCAGGGCCCACGGTCCAGGGTGAAATTCTACAGCTGACAGCAACATCTGCCCTGAGTGGAGGCAGGACAGGATGGCCACTGCTCGTGTGCTCGCTGAAGCATTACCAGCGTATGCAGTTAAAAAAAAAAAGACAACGTGGAATAAGCATTTGGAGGAGGTTCAGGTTTTCTAAACCTGCCTCCTATAGGCAAATGTAACATTCCTTGGTAGGTACGTGCCCACTGTGACATAACTGCGAATCCCACAGAATGCTGAACTTGAACCCCTTTGCAGTTTGCTTCTAAAAATCTGAAGTTTAAGGAGGTATCACAGCGTCCCCACTGCCTCTTCCTGCAGTGAGTTTTCTGCATGGCTGAGTCATAACTAACATTACATCATCTTACCCAGGGAGGGGCACAATTTCCGTCGAGTAAGAACTACCTCTTACAACTAGTGCAGCGCCTTAAAGTTACAGGAATCAAAGCCATCCAGGACACGAGTACTGCAGGGGGGCGGGCTGGAGGAGAGGGCTCCAAACCAAGCCTGTATCTACTTCAGCCTCAGAGAACTATTAGATATAAAGTAACAGGTATGAAAAGTTACCGTAAGGTTTCAACACATCTCCAAACACATTAGCATCGATAGTTATGTTAATTTGTACATAAATAATCAATATATTAGAGGGAAAGAAGAGCAAGACAAATATTAAATCCCATCCTTCAGAAATGCCACAGCTTTAATGAAAGAACAGACAGAAGCAGCCTTACAAGACCCAGCACCATTTACCCTGCAAACGGTAAGTAAAAATGGATCAACAGTTTCATTATTTCTCACCAGCACATCATTGCAGATGTCTCTTAGCTCAGTCTCAATTTTCTCTCTGTATTCTCGAGCCATCTGCTGTTTTTTCTCAGCGCCTTCCGTCTTTTGTTCAATACTTGAGACGACTCTCCAAGATGACCTACGGGCTCCTACAACATTTTTATAGGCAACGGAGAGAAGGTTCCTCTCTTCGTTGGACAACTCAGCTCCTTGCTCAGTCACAGACTTCATGCAACTTGCCATGTCATCATATCTTTCAGCCTGCTCAGCCAGTTTGGCCTTCTGCACCAGCTCATTTTTATCCATGCTGATATGTTTCTAAAGAGGAAAAATAGTGAGGCATTATTCAGACACCGATTTCATGAAAAGAGATGTTTTAGCTTCACATGCAGAGCCACCATCCTCTAATTAGCCTGGAATTGTACAAGGTATGGCTGAAATTGGCTGAAATCTAGACTGCGAGGCGTGCAAGTGCTCAAACACAGGGATTGAAAACTCAGTCATTGATTCCTCCTAAAAAGCTGTTAACTTGTAGAAGTGATTACTCCAAAAAAATGCAAACAAAAGCATCCAAAGGTGAACTGGAAGCAAATCCTTCCTATCTTATGCAAATACACGATCCCAGTTCTTTGCCACTCTCTCATAAGAGCGCATCCAACCTGCAGCATCAACTGCATCTAATAGTGAATACAACAGAACTGACAAAGGAAGCAGCCAGCAGTGCTTTTTTCACCCCTACAAAAACAGGCAAAATAAAGGCTAAGATGAACAGCACCACACAACGCTGTGCCAAAAATCTTATGGTTACGTGCAGAAAGAACTGGCAGATGGATCTGCAAATCCAATCCCACTTTGGATGCTGCAAAGTCAGAACCTAAAGCACCTGAATTTCGAAAAGCCACACTAATTTCAGCCACACTAACCTCCTCTCCTGAAAGGCGGGATGCTAGACCTTCTGACCCCTCAGCCTGAGAGGTTTTTTGGAGACAAAAGGAAATTTTAGGGTTTAGTAAGGTTTCGATTCAGCATCCGTATTTCAGATGGCAGGAGGTGGTGGCGATGCTTCACGACCTGCACCCCGTGAGGGCTCCTCCAACCCAGCTCTGCTGCACGGGGATAACCACTACCTTTATTTTTTGGCTCCATAGCTCAGAACCATCCTTCCTCACCCCCAATCTTTCATACACCTCGGCTGGCTCCTTCCCAAAGCCCTGGCGGCCCTTTGAGCTCTACAAAACCCCTTTATCCACCCTGCTGCGGCGCACACCCCGCTCAAAGCCGGCTCCATCCGACCCATTTCGCTTCCCCAGGGTGACAACAAGAAAAATAAAAAACCCTGCGGGGCTCAGCCCAGGCAATAGAGGGCTGGGGGGGGCACAACCCCTAGCGGGGAGCCCGGCGGCGGCTGCGGGAGCCATTTTACAGGCGGCTCCGGCCTGGGGGGGGGGTGGGGGGGAGGCGGTGCCGCCCTCCTCAGGCTGTTATATGGGGGGGGGGGGGGGGGCACAAGGAGGAGAAGGGGAGGAGGAGGAGGAGAAGGAGGGGGGGGGCTGCGCGAGATGGCGGCCGGGGGCGGCCCCTCAGGATGGCCGCGGGGGCACCGAGCGCCTCGCCTCGCCTCGCCTTTGTCATGGCGGCTCGGCGCCGCAGCCCTGCCCACTGCGGGGCGCCTCCAGCCCCGAGGAGGAGGAGGAGAAGAAGGAGGAGGAGGAAGAAGCAGAGGGGGCGCCCCCTCCTCACACACATCCCCCCCTCCCCCCCCCCCTCCGCCTCAGCGTGAGGCGGGGAGCGGCCGTTAACGGATGCGGAGGGGGGGGGGGGGACCCCCGGGGCCGGCCCCACCCGCCCCCTAAGGGCCCGCCGGGCTCCCCCCCACCCCGCTCAGCCCCGGAGGGAGCTCGGCAGGCTGTGAGGAGGGCGGTGGGCGCCGGGCCGGGCGCGGCGGGGCCCCGTTACCTGCGGGAGGCGGCGGCGGTGTGTCGGGGCGGGCGGCCGGCGCGGACTGTGCGGGGCTCGCGGCGCTGCAGCCTCTCCTCCCCTCCCCTCCCCAAGCTCGGCAGCCGCGCACGGGCGGCTCGGCCAATCAGCGCGCCGCCCCGCCGCCCGGCCCGTGACGTCAAGCGTCGCCATGGCAACGGGCAAGGCGCGGGCACGAGCCCCGCGCCCTTCCCAGGGCGGAGGCCCCGGCGGCGGGGGCGCGCGGCCGTTCCCCCCCCCCCCCCTCGTTCTCCTCCCCCGCCCACCTCCCGATCTCCGCCGCCCTTTTGTGTTTAACCCCCCTTATGTAAAAAAAAAAAAACACATAAATTTGTCACAAAAAGCACAACAGCCCTCATTTCTGCTCCCTCATGGTGGTGGGGGGGTGGTGGTGGTGGGGTGCACAAAATGGCTGCTGTGGGGGCTCCCCAATCACCCCCGGTCCCCTCACAGGGAGCCCCGGGAGTGCTGAGGGGGTCCCAGGAGAGACCCCCGTGGGTGGGGTGCTTGGGGAAAGGGTCTGAGGGTCCTGAGGAGGTGCTGGGAAGGAGCGGGAGGCGTGTGGGAATGCGAAATATTGGGAACGCTTTTTGTGTGTGAAATGAAATGAAATAAAATAAGATGTTCAAGCCTGCATCCACTTGGCTGCCTCGTTCTCTGCCTCAGCACGCTGCGTCCTGAGCTTGCTTCTGGGCTTTGGGATGAGCAGGATCAGAAATAAAACCCCGCTCCTGGCTGGGGCATCCCACGAGAAGCCGCTGAGGTGGTGCCTCGCCGGCCTGAGTGAGGCAGCGGCTGCAGGATGCTGAGGCTTGGGGTCTGCATGGCGGTGGAAGATGGAGAAAGCTCCCCAATGTGTCCCCTGCCCATGGCCGGTGACAGCAGAGGGGCTGGGGAGGTTTTCTCCTCGGGCTTTGTACCGCAAGCTGGTGGTGTCACGGAGCAGGAGCACCTCCGCTGGGAGAGGGAGATTCCCTCTCGTGGACTCGCTCCAGGCGCTCGTATTTATGGAGATTGCAGCCAGCACTCCACCCTGTTCCTTTTTCCATGCGGGATCCAACAGAAAAACCTCGCGCGGCGGTCACGTGGCGGGTTCCTGTATCTCAGCGGTGGAGCAGCGGCTGGAAAACAAGCCGCAGCACTGCTCCGAGCTGCTCCTGCTCGCCTCACGCACGCTTGCTGGGCGAATCCTTCAAAACAGCTTGTGCAGAAATAGCCAAAGCACGGGACGGAGGGGTATTTATGTGGGTAGAGCCGTAAAAACCTCTTGGTAGGGCAGCGTGTGGGAAGAGCATAGGAAGGCTGAGGTACTCGCTTCTCGGAAAGCAGGAGGAAGTTGGGAGTGTGCTTGTGCTCTTGGCAAGTCACTGGTCAGGGCTAGGCTGGGACAGTACCGGAGAAAACAGCGTGAGCAGGTTCTCCTGCGAGCTCGCCGCCTCCCGTGTTGTGCCTCGCAGCCTTTCCCGCACGTCTCTGTCTTTTCCAGGCGCTTCTGGGGGAGCTGCCTGGCACACTCCTCGTCTTCCCTTCTCCCTGCCTTGGCAAAGGGGACAGAGACTGGGAGCGTGATAAAGTGGCCAGAATGGGGATTTGATTTCCAAATCTTCCAACCAACTGTCCCGTGTTTTGACTGAATATCAGGAAGACTCTATTTCAAGCTCCGCATGACAAAATTGGTTTCCTAAGAACAGGGCTTTGTTTCATCTACCTTTAAAATTGTATCATATAAAGAACTGCTCCGTTTTCAGCAGTGACATTTTACCTGTACTACTGGCTTATGGCTCTGTCACCACCCTTGCTCACGGCCTATGATGTGTGTCGAGGTTTGTCATAATGTGCCTTTTCCTCCTTGTTTTCTCCAGCAGCTGCTGATATCCTAGACATTGATTTAACACTGAGGAATATATATATATATATATATATATATATATAACTTTTTTTTTTTCTTTCTTAACATTTCTAGTGCCTTCCATAAGAATTTCACTCGCTTGCCCATGGAATATTGCTGGGATGCCTGAGGAAGGAGCCAAGGCTAGCAGAGCATGGAGGCTGGTGGGCAACACCAGGTTGAGCAAAGCTGGCCAGGCTTGGCTAGCTGTGTCAGGTGAGAAGATCTCTGCTGCTTAATTTAAACCTGATGAAGAACATAACCTTCCTTTTTTATTTCCCCAGTGACACCTTGTTGCAGGAGGCAGATACAGAGGAGTTTGTTTATTGTGACAAGCAGGGTAAGGCTCAGGTTCATAATGGATTCCAACACACAATGCTTCTTCGTCTTATCTGTTTTTTATTTTTTTATCATTATTTTCCACTTTAGGAAGCTATAGGAGGAGAGCTCGAGAGCTGTACTTGAACACAGATGGTATGATGGCACAGCATTTGCTGCAACTTGCTTCAAGTTATGTTACAGAGTTCATTTTTAACATAAGCTTTAAACCTTTATTTTGTAGAAAAGTCTCATTGAAATGGCAGCTACCCAAATATAGACTATACATTTTCAGAGGTACTTGAATGTTTTGTGGTAACGTGGTGAAAAATGAACTGATACGAGAAAACAGAATAATCCTTACAGCCTTACAAGTGCACAAAAATCCATGCTGGAGTGTGTGTGTGTCAGCTGAAGCACAGGTATGCATCGTATCACTTCTTGGTACCTCCAGGAAACACAGGGCAATGGCTTGCGAAGTAGGCTGCAGTACGGTAGGTAGTGTAAATAGGTTTGTGGAAGGAAAACATCAGCCTTTCCATTCACTTCTTTCCATTATTTCTGTTTTTGGAGTGAATGGAACGTCTCCTGCAGCAGCCCTAATTGCCACTAACCATAGTTTTTGTTTGCTAGCAGCCCCATATGTCAATAGACGCTGCACTCGTTCTCCTTTAAGTAAGCTATTTTTGCCAAACACCGTTTCCACTTCTCTGGATTTTACGAACGCTGCCATTTGAAACAGATCCAAGGAATTAGACATTACTCACCTTTGCATATGCCGTCTCCTGAACAGATACTCTCCTGCTGTCTTCTATTCTTACATTTCCTGCACTTTTCCCCCAGCGTGGAATGTTATATTTTGTCTTGCTTGCTGCAGTTTTGACCAAGGAGCTCGGCCTCTTAAAAAGATAGGCTTTAAGCAGTTTCCCTTTCCTTCAAATGCATTTTCTGTGCTGCTTTCCACACGGCTTTTTGTTCGATGACTTGCACTTTCACTATCTCAGACTGTCAGGCATACTTGTCAACAGCTAGGAGCAAAAACTCATTTGTGGAGTTAGACACATTAGCATATAAAAGTATATCTATGTGTGTTTATTTACAGCGCTTCTCACTTCACTTGCTTCTTGAGAGAGGAAGAAACGGAGTGGGAAAAAAATGAAAAGGGCCCCAGATGTCTTTTATTCTCCCTCAAGCACAGCATTTAGTTCTTTCTACTTCCCTCTCATCGTTTCTCCTGTAAGTGCTAGTTATTCTCCCCTATGCTTAACCATACCCGGCTGAAAGAGGACGGGTGGTTAAGGGAGGGTTATCCGCTTGCTGGAAGAGGACAGCAGGAATTTTGGGGGAGGTTATCCTCACACAGCCTAGGGAAAGCAGTCCAGGAAGTCAGTAGGAATAGCTCTTAAAGGTCGGTGACTGCTGTCCGGAACTGGGAGGCAGAGCATTGCTCGATCCTGGAGCTAACCAGGAGGCGGCTGCTGCTGCTGCTAGAAAATGGACATGTTCTGATTGCCTTATTTTTTCCTGGGAACAGGAAAATGAGGAAAGGCAGCCTAGCAAAGGGCATTTCTCAGGAGACCAGGAGATGATTCGGCAAATCTATGGCCTATGGGGGGAGAAAGAAGAGATGGCAGCTCTGTCCTGTGGTGTCCAGCCATCAGGAGCCACTTTTCTGAAAGCTGCTTGCTCAAAACCCTAGCTGTTGTGAATTTGTTTCACACTTTTCTGCACCAATTCTCAGGTTATTATGTTGTATATAGGACTATGTATCCTTACATAGTCTTTTTGAGCTTCTGTAGGGCTTTGAGCTCCTTGCCCCCACTTAGCAAAGGCAAGATCTTCAGAGGATCACCACCTTTCTGGAGTAAAACTTTCATCAAAATTTAAAGGAATCCGTCATAGCTGCCTTCATGTCTTTCCTTGGCCACAACCTGTGATTTAAAAGTCAAACTTCAAGCTTTGCTGATAGCATTAGTGGATGAGATATTTCCTCTCTTGTGTAGTCTGATTGAGGTCTTGAGTCAGCTAACACACTTTGTTCTCAGGACATTCTTGTAGATTGATCAAGCAGAGACTTTACTGAAGGAAGGATGCATTTGAGACTTTCCATTTTGTTCCTTTTTTTTTTTTTTTTCCCAGTGGTCTAACATGAGTCAGATTCTGACTCCATGTCAGGTGCCAGTGATAAAAAATATAAATTGTGGATAGGGCTGCTATTTTCTGCCACTGAATGGAAAGCAGTTAGAGCTGCTGGGTCTTAAATGCCCTTTCCCTCCGTTTCCTGGAGATGTGTTGAGAACCTTCTCCAAACTCCTCACCTTTCCATCCATAGTCCATTTTTATTAAAAATAACACATCTAGCTAAAGAATCAGAGTGAGTCCTGCTTCAGTAAGCGGGTACACAGGAGTTAAATTCTCAAGTGATTTTGGATATGGACTGGTTTAAATGCATATATTAGGGAGTTAGTGCCTGGTTGCAAGTGTCCTGAAGGATGATTCCTGAGATTCTGCTGTCAGGAAAATGCAAACATCATTTTCACAAAAATAAAATGTAGATTTTTTTAACATTAGTAAACATTTTGTCACAAAAGTGATGTGTACCCAAGAAGGATGTCAGAACACCACCAAATAAATGGCATAGAGCAGGTAGATTATGAGTTAGCACTGTTCCTTGGTTCTGAAAATAAAAGCGATGTGAAATGGCAACTTCCTTCACAGAACTTGTCGCCAAATGACAAAGATAAATTGACGCTGTTCTTTACTTCCTACTGACCTTTCTGAGAAAGGAAGCTAAATGCAGTTCTTCCTTGTTTAGAAAAAGTTCCAGCAAGGTATGAAAGCCCGCAAGTTTGCACAGAGGTCACTAGAAGCTGCATTTAATCTAAAAAACTTTTATTTCTGACATTTAGTGTATGACATGGCAGAGAACACCAGAACCTGGCTGTATTTAAAGGGCCTGCGACAAATTTCAGTACTGAGTTAGCTGTGAGTTAGTTTGAGAGGTCTGGATGTTGTGCATAAAATGTAGCTCCATGGATGGATCTCATTTGATTCCTTTCCTTTTAGTGTTTGAATGCGTGTGCGACATTTGAGCACCTACATACTGAGGAGAAAATGAGCAAATTCTTGAACTGCTGAAAGCTCATTTTCAGAGCAGGCAACTTGCCATGACTTTGGGTGTATTTACTTTCCCATGGAAAATTCATCCTATTTCTGTGTTGTACCTGATTTGATTTTGCAAAATTAAATGCAAACTGAAAAGCTATGCGGAAGAATGAAGTTCAGCACTTGAATAAGATTGATTAATCAGACTATTTTGAGAAGCAGCTAAGGAGCGTTTTAGGGATGCTGCTGCAGTTATCAGAACTGCTGAAGAAATCAAATGAAATATCCCCAACCATCAGCACAAGGAGACTTAACGTGAGTGTTTAAAGACACTTGGCTAGACAGAGGCCTGCGAGTGGAATATATATGGTTTATGTCTTGTGATTTTATTATATTCTCATTCTTAACCGATTGCCCAAATGCTGAGGTATTTGTGTCTTCCAAAGACGTATTGAATGAGTGGATCAGATATGTTTTCTTCTCAGTTTCTCCCTACAGGAGACAAGATGGATGAGGCCACTGTCAGCTGAGATCACTGGCTGAACTTGGGTCCTCTGGGGCTGAAGGTATGAGTTGGAGTGAAGTTAATACCGTGCTGATAAAATCACCATGCATTGGTCTTATCCTGGTACTCTACACAGCCCTAAATTACACCCTGAATTACTAAATCCTGAGTAATTCGGTTGGTCTATAGCTGAAAACAGTTCTTTTCTTTTTGCAAACAATAGCCACGGGGATTTGGGAACTTGGAACTCTCCTTAGCTTGTGTTCATTTCCTTTATGTGTAACTGTTCTTGAGAGAGTGAGATAATACATAAAAAGTGTTACCAGAAGAGACAGGATGTCTTGAAGCAGACTTGAGACTAACATCATTCTATTATACTTACTTTGATTTATTTTTGGACTTATTTTTTATTTATTTGAGCTTACGAGCTAATGTTATTTCAACGTTGATTGTCAGGAAAAAGGTTCTGTAATGTCTTGTTTCATATCTGTTCTGTCACTAAATTTCAGGCCTCCTTGCCTTGTATGCATTTATTCTGAATTAATTTGTCTGATATTTTTTAAACGATAAATTATTTACTGTGTTTGCATTCTTTAGAAATATACAACGGCTGCTACAGTTGAAGGCATCAGGAAAAATGCTAAGGTGTGCTCGCTGTTCGTAAACATGTAAGTTGCCAGTTTCATATGGCCTGAGGACTTCTAAAGGGCCTCAAAAACGAAGTAGCATAGCTAGTGTATAATAGATGAGAACTCTCACTAAAAACACGATCAGCAGGTAATTTGTTGAACCTATATTTTTAAAAGGCAATCCAAGGAATTACTAATACAGTGAATTGTGTATTTGTTTATCATTATACTTTAAAATGGAACGATGCAAAGATCATTTTCTGAGGTGGTCTTAGCAACTTAGCAACTTAGCAATTTCTAGAGTAGAAAAGTCCATCTCCATAAACTCTCACTGTTACCTGAATGGTTAAATAGAAGTATGGATAAAGGAGAATTTACTAAAATATTTTATTAAGATTTTTCACAAACCTTTGGTGAAACTAACAAGCTACTAAGGAAATTCAAAATGTAGTTTTACAAGGGAAACTTGGGCCCTGAAATAAGTATTTAAGCAAATTCATTCAAGTTACAGGCATTAATAGCATTTTTAACCCCGATGGTTTGCTTAGTGCTGTAGGATCTTGCATTTTCCACTGGTAAAATCTCTTCATTCCCTTGTTTTTGCTGCCGAGCATGTGCAAAACCATCTTGACAGCTCCAGGCTGCTAAGCCCCAAAGAAATACACAAAATAAGCATTTTCTTGCAAGTTTCCTCTCAACTGCCTGTCAACTTCAGTTTTGAATCCCAGCAACCAATTTCCACTCATTTTGTTTTATACTGACTACATTTATCACAATTTATTTTATATTCTTGATAGGATATTGAAAGAGGCTCTCAGGGCCACAGATTGCTGCTGAAATGTTAGACAACATTTGGCACGAACAGGATCAGAAATTAAAAACCGGCATTTTTTTTTTTTTATCCTGCTTGCCTTTGAAACGAAGTTTATAGGATTGTGTTGTTTATCTCTCTGTACATTCAGCAATTCCCCTTAAAAAACTTCGGGACCCAATTTCAACCGAATTTGAAAGATGAAATCTCAAGATAAATAAGGTTTGTGAGAAACTGCAGCTGTACAGAGGACAAGGAGCATAATTAAACGCCTGCACTATGGAGAAGGCAGGTGGAAGCCAGCCTTTTATAGCAGTTGAGAGCAGCCAGCCAGCCACAGCGTGCTCAAAGATTTTGATTGAGCATAGCATATGCCCTACATGGAGGGTGGGTTTCGGAAGATAACCTGAGGTTATTAGGGCAAAGGAGGTTTTAGGAGACAACACAAGACTGTGAGAACAATCAATCAAAGCCCACTTCACTTGTTTTATTTCTTGCAGAGCAACTCAACTCTCTTGTCCTGCCTCTTCTTCCTTCTTTCCACCCTGATCACCTGCTTTCCTCCCAGAATTTTGGGAGTCTGTTACTATCTTTGCATTCCCCCTGCTCAGTATCAGTCCATGTAACTTAACAGGCGTACAAATTTTGTCTGATTTAGTAATGAGGTCTCAGAGGTAACCTGCTGGGAGCCAGTTACTGGCTCTTTCTTCATCCAAAAACTTCAGCCAGGCTGTTAGGATGTGGAGAAACCAGAGAAACAAATTACTTGCCTCCTTTTTGTCTTTTCTCTCAGGTTGTACCTCAGGATGGGTACCTTATCTAGAAGAGAAAGTTTTTCTAGATCTTCTCTGGTCAGTTGTCTGCACAGGATGACCCAACCGTGCTGTGTCAAAACAAAGAACACATACACACATAGCACTGCGCTGTGATAAAAGCTGCTCTTCTGCGCAGTGTCCCAGCTTGTGAAACCTGTCTGGTTTTGCATAATAGATAAGCCTCAGGAAGTATAAAAGTAGTGGGAGTGCTTGCAGTATGACCAAGTTACAGTTTTACAGTCGTTTAAAGGTCAGCAGCAAATCGACATCTACACCCAGTCCTGCAGGATAAGGTTTTGTAGGGACAAAGCTCTCAGGCAAATACCTGCGTCATTTGCCTACGGCCATACAGAAAATCCCAGGCTGAAGAAGGGACCGAGATCCCACCCTGTCGCTTGCAGGCCATGGCCAGAGTTACCAAGCCAATCTTTCTCATCATTTACCTAGCACAGACTTTGAAACCTAAGCCTTGCGGAGAAATTTTTGAGGAAAAAATTCCAGGCCTGAGGTCTCACAGGGCAGCTACTCTTTTTCCTCCTAACTTCTGGATTCTCTCTCTCTCTCTCTCTCTTTCTTTTAATTTATTTATTACTTGAAAATGAGTTTTGTATGAGAAGAAAGTTAAACTGCTGAAGGAGACTAACAAGTTTATGGATGTGATTATCTCCCAAATAGTTAATGTCTCACTTCTCAGTTAAACATTTATTTTTTCAAACTTGTTTTCAGCCCTTCTAATAGGCTTCTGGCTAGGTTAATTAAGAGTGCAACTAGGCTGAAAACAAATGATCTCTGTGATAGGATAGGCAGCATGCAGGCAGCAGTAACAGCAGTACACAAACTTCTGAATGCTGTGAATGCCTCTGGACTTCACCAACAGGTGTGTTGATCAGCTCTCGTTCTTCTCTCACAAGAAAAATATCACCATAGCTGGTTATGGCTCATGCCTGCAAATGTAAAAAGCTGTAGAGAGACAACAGTGTACAAGGAAGATTTGTTAGGCCATGGACTGAGGTCCTTACCAATGCCAAATAAAAACTCAAAATCAGAGGTTGGGTGTTTTGAGGAAAAGTTGGGTTTATACATTTGCATAGGTGGAGGGACAAGAGTTGGTGGAAAAAAAAAAAGTCTAAACCACGAAAACCTAGTGTAAAAAATGTTCCACCTGCTGTGAAAACAAACATCAAGGATATTAAGAAGAGAAGTCTGAAGCATTTCTATGTTCAGAATTTGGCTGAATAAAGAGAAGCAGTAAAAAGCACAACTACAGGTGAAAGCCATAGATGGTCTTAAAGAATGGAAAGATCTGTGCTGCATCCTGCAACTGCTGGAAAGAAGAGGCACACAGGGGGATTAACAAGCAGATCACAAGACAAGGTGGAGATTTGGAAGAGCTACGGCTGATGTTCAGGCAAGAGGATCTTGAAGCATCATGGAGCACGCTTAAATCCACAGGTCAGTGCCGTGTGTGCTACAGCTACTCAGCACCAAACAAGGAGCTCTCCAGACCACTTATTTTCTCCATTTCCATCTGTATCTCTACAGATAGTAAGTAGGTGATGAAGCAAACCTGGTTAAGGGTTTGCTTTCTGCTGGAAGTTTCAAGCTATTGTGCATGTGTCCTTGATGTGCAATCCCAGGCCTGCCCCTGAAACAGGCAGGGATGACTCAGGGAAGGCTTTTCCTTCTGATTCTCAGGTAGAAGCCAGGCTGTCATACCCTTACCTCAGCTGTCAACTGGGAAGCCTTTACTGGCACTTGTGCAGCGTGCCACTCCCAGGGAGATTTGGGAGTTTGTTCTGCAGTGCCTGGCACCACTCCTACATTCACAGAGCAATTCACATCTCCAGCATATCACCTCTCCACCTAGGTAAGACACAGCAGCTCAAGGGGGACGTTCAGAGAGCTCTGCCAGGCTTTCCTCCGGATTTTCAGAGCACTAAAGCACCCCTTGTCTATGCCACACCAAAAAATCCCCCCTCCCCATCATGATCTTCCTCCCACAGAGCAGCCTTGCCGGTGATTTTGGCCTGCTCCTCCCTTCCCCAGCACTCCCCAGCGAGCTTCTTGCTCTGACAAATTCTCCCCTGGCAACAATAGCTGCCGCCGGGTCCCTCCCAGTCTGTGGTCATGGCTACTGGGGTGTGAAGCGCTCTGCCCACCTGAGTCAGAAATGCTCAGCAGCTCTGCTGACAGCACTAACAAAGAGCCAGGCAGCAGAGGAATGGTGCTCAGCCCTCAGGACCAGCTCGGATGTAAGGATTGCTGGCCCAAACGCTGCGATTTCTCAAATTATTATTGCTATTTTTCATTTCTAGCAGCCCTGCAAACCAGTTATGAATTTATGAATCCATCCCACACGTTATTTTCGAACTACCTTTTCTTCAGAGAAAAAAAAATACCGAAATAAAAACGTTTCTCTACCTAAAAAAAATGAGCCAGCGTTATGTCTGGGGAGTCGAAAAGAATCCCCAAATTAGGCTACAAGCAGATGCTGTGTATTGTTTTGATTGCAGTTGTTCTAACCGACTATGTTTGTAGATCTGTAAATGTTCAAAGGGATTTAAAAATAAAGAAGGCACTTTTTTTTTTTTTTTTTTTTTTTTTTTTTTTTTTTTTTTTTTTTTTTTTTTTCCCTTCCAGAGCCTTAAAATTTAAATTCTATCTCCATGCTCGCTAGAAATCTTTTTTTTTTCTCTGCTTGTTTTTTACCGAGCTTCCTATGGAAGATCCCCCTTTTTTTTTGCTTTTTGAAGGGAGAGCCTTCAATTCATCTCTGAAACGTTTTCAGAGCAGGCTGAAACAGAAGCACTGACGCTGCAGAAGCTCAGGAGAAACTCAGGGCTGGTGGGTGCTTGTTCTGCAGCCCACCCATTTCGCCTGTGCTCGGGGCATCTTGCCTGTGCTCCTCCAGCACTGCCCCTGCAGCATCTTCCTTTGGGCACACGTTCCTCCAAGTCAAGTGAGCAGCCTCGCACCTTTAGCTGGCTGCAGTGCTGATCCTCCTCCGAAAGGTAACTGAGCTTATTTATTTCACCCAGCAGCGATCACTGGACAAGGCACAGCAGCAGAACCAGGGCTCCTGGCTCTCCGTTGCAGCCCTGCCCAGCAGCTCAGGATCAATGCTCTGCTGTCCATTTTGGCACAAATATGACATTTCAGCAGGAGCTAAAGGTTTCCTGGTAGTAAGAGTGTGTTCCCTGAAGCAATGGGTTTATCTTCTTTAGGATGGATTGAATTGAATCTGGGTCCCCCATGTCCTGGGTGAATGCTCTTTCCACTGGGTTAAGGTGATGGGGAAGAGAAGATAGGAAACTTTGTTCACAGTCGGTGGCAAAAATTAGCACTGATCTCTGGGCTGAAAAGTCAGCGTGGGATCGACCCTTTTGTCTTGTGCTTCCTGCAGCCTGCAGACGGGTGTGGATCCGCAGGGCTGAAGTGGGATCTGCTAGATCTAATTACCCCCTAATTATAATACATTAAACAATTAAAATAATGGAGATCGGGCGCAATCAGATCTCAAAACAAAGCGATTTAGCACGATGAGATGTTGAAAACTGTGCAGATGCTGCTGCTAATCCTGGAGGAGGTCCAACATAAACAATCCAATACCCAGCCAGCTGGGAAGACAGCGAGCTCGAGGTAATATCAGGTTCCCAGCATAAAGCGTGAGGGGGTAGGTGGATTTTCTCCCTCCGTTATCCAGCTGTATGTTTAGACAAGAGCAAACTACTGTGTATTTCAAAACGTGTGTATGTGTGCAGGTGAACGATGGAAATGTATGGGCCTCGAGGGGGCAGGGGACTCGCCGCTTTAAATGCTCGGTGCATTATACATGTAGCTGTATTTTATTTTTGATTTTAAGAGTTACGTGGTTAGTAATTTACTGTAACTTTAGCCCTGAAGAATCTGGCTTTGGTGGACAACTCCGGGAGCCAAAGGTGTTCTTTGTCCATAAAACAGGTACGGCACTTCGGGAGATGAGAGGGGACCTTGGGCCCCACGCTCATTCCTCTCCTGGCCTCTCCAGGGACCTCATCACCACTTTTTATCAGCAGCAATACATTTATGACACTTTGTCATTTGTGAGAAAAGCCGTGTTGTTTGTGTGAAGCCAGGCTTCCCCCCCCAAAAAAAAAACCCTAAGTTGGTGGAGCCGGGCACAAAGCCCCGGGGAGGGAGCGCTGCAAAATGCCCTGGAGCTGTTGGTTGGAGGCAGAGCGTGGGGAGGGTGATGTGTGACAACTGCTGATGGAACAGCAGGTGAATGTGACCAAAAGCCTGGCTTGCAGTTCACAGGTAGAAGGACTTTACCAGAAAAAAAATAAAAATAAAAAAGGAATTCTCTAAAAAAGCCAAAGAACAAAGACATCCGAGGCTTCCTCTGGGAAATAAGGATGAGCAATCCAAACTGTGGGTTTTCTTTGTATAATCGAACGCTGCATTCCTGGAGGGATCTTTTTATTTGGTTCTTTGCTCGCTCTGGTTTCTCTCGACAATGTACACAAGCTGCAGCACAGAAGAGAGAGAGTCAGAGAGAGATAACAGGGTACTGAGAGAATTTAATTAATAAGTCCTTGTGGGGCTGCGGGTGACTGTGGAGAGGATGGAGGACGATGAGCAAAAAGAGGTCCTCTTAATGTCCGGATGTATTGAACATTTCATTGAAGGAAAGCCAAAGAGGCACCAAAAGGAGTTGGTAGCTGTTGGAAAACAACTCACAAAGAGCATGAGGCAACGTGTTCTCTTTTCTCTTTCAATTTTGCTGTAGCAAAACTTAGTGCTGCACCACTTTCAAGGAGGAGAATTTGGGCCAAGGATTTAGCAACAGACATCTGAAGAACGCAGAAAAAGCAAGGGATTGGGGAAAGAGGATAAAAGGCTCTCTCTTTTACAGCCACCACCTTCTTTTACAGTTCTTTGGGAGACGCACGTGAAGTCCTGCACGGATGGGTGCCCCACATGCTGAGACACAAATGCTGGAGCCTCTGCTCCACAGCAGGCAGCGGATGGACAGGAGCAAGGCTGCTTAACTCCAGGCTGACCCAGGAATGACAAATTTTTGGCATACTGGGCTTGACCTCTCCCTTCTGGCCTGTCAGCTGTTGTTTCCCAGTGCCCTTGGACGGGCTGGATTTGCTCTTGCTGATGCTCTTTGTGTAGTTCTCTCCCCGGGTACGCATGTTGAAGCCAGGCTTTTAGGTCTTTGGGTGGGTCTTGAAATTGCCAATTAAAACCCCACATCTCGGCTGTTATGAGAAGCTTTGCTGAGGTCCAGAAGTTGCTGGAAGCCTGATACACGCCACAATTTACTGGCTGTGAATTATGTAGATACTCATATTTTTAATTTCCTTTCATTTAGTTGTGTGTGCAGGACCTCTGTCACGACCAGCGGGGAGCTCTCCTGGGTACAAAGAGGCAATTCAGTGTCTGTGCCAACCCTGGCTTGTAAAAGCCTGGCAGCCCTTGACAAACAAAGCCTAGAAATGTTGCTATTAAAAGCATTTATTGAATAAATCCATATGTGACAAAATGATAGCTGCAAAAAGCAGTGGAATTGTTTTTTTAATGGATAAATCTTATTTGAAAGGTAAAGCAGAGCTGCAAAAGCTCCGGGAACAGTCACCTGAGGATAGAGCTTTGAGCAACGTGGGAAAAATTAGACCCACTATGAACAATATAGAAGATAATAGATTTCAGAACATGCCTGCTTTGAGTGGGAGCTTTTATGTAAAGAGAAGAGAGGATAAGCCTGGTTTTAACTTCTGTGCTTGAAGGCTCTCGCAGAGATAAGAGAACAAATCCTTGTTCCCACCAGCAGAAGCTGGAAAGAAGAGGACCCCGGTTCTTCTTCAGGAGGGAAGGAGGAGGGCTGCTGACCCAAGAGGGGGCTCTGTTGGGTTCCCCCCCGTCCCCACAGCAAAGCACCAGCCCTTCCTTTGCTCTGCGTGCAGCCTTTATGCTTGAGGGAGGCAGGGTGCTGAGCTCAGGTGGCTGAGATCTCCCTAGAGGGTGGAGCAGAGGAGCAGCGATTGTGTAAAGGCTGCTGTAACAACCGGAGAGCAGCTCTGCTGGAAATCCAAAAATTGTCATGGGAGAGGATCCTATTTCTGTGCCTCTCTGCTTAGAGCCTCTTTGCTTTGGCCTCGCTCGGTGATCAGAACTTGCTCTAGATACCAAAATAAAGAAAAAAAGAATGACATTCGTTGAAAAGAGGCATCTGGGCTGTATTTAGCCTTAAAAAATAAACCAAGAGCAGCTATCTGCATTGATTGTCTCGTGGGCTGCTGGAGATGATCTGTCATGATGGGCTTTCGGCAGGTGATAGCTGGGGGTGGCTGTTTTCATCGGAGGGGCGGAGAGCCCTTCGCTGGAACTGGCAGAGGCAGATGTGGTGACCTACAGGTGCAAAATAACCTCTCTGGGAATGAGCAGTCTCCAGCGAGGACAGGCTGCCCCTGTGACGGCTGCTGACATGCATGAATGCAGCATGGAAATGCTCAAACTCAGTCAGGAATTTCCTGGCACACGTTATGTCCACACTGGGGAAATGTTTTACATCACTTCGGGGATGGCCGAGCTTGTCCGGTCTCTTCAAAGAGATTGTTGGAGAAAGTATGAAAACAGCATATCAGGATTATAGAGGTTTCCTGGGGGGTCAGATAGAAATGAAAGGGAGGGCAGAAAAATTGTTATGGAACAATTAAAACAAATAACATCAGAAAACATAACAGCGGAACCGATCCTGCAGAAGTCCTGGATGAACATCACAAGCAAACCTGGACTGAAGAAGATATTTGGGAAGCAATGAGCTCAAGCTTGCGAGAAACAGATTTTTAAAATCAGATATAGGAAAACAGTCAGAAGTGCCTACTATGTTTGGAATATTACACATGCAGGTGCGAGTGCCCGATTTAGAAATGAGCCTCTGACACTCCTGCGAGGAGCAAATGGGTGTTTGTGTGCACCTATTGCTGCAAGTCAGCCTTATCACCCAACAATGTCCTGCTTTTGGAAATGTCAATATTGTCTGAAAAAAATAATTGTCCTCTCCTCAGTTTCCCAGTCTGGGAGGACTAATGTTGGTGAAATTGTAGGCCTTTTATTTCATGATAGATCTACGCTGGCTTTTCTCTAACAGCAGTTTCCCCTTCTATTGCTTCCCGAAGTGGCTGTGGCAGAGCCGTGGTATATCATCAAAGAATGTCAGGTGCTTAGTGCTCACAAACCACCTTCTTATTAGAAAACATCTTTGTGAAAAGGAGCCATTTTTCCACAATTGAGGCTATATAGGCTTTCAGAGGTGTCTGAGACCCTTAATTTCTACCTTACTCTTCCAAAAAAGAGATGGGTAAAAGAAAAAAAAAAAGAACAACCAACAGTTCAATGCCTTACACAGGGCAGAGCAGCTAGAAAACAGAGAATGGAAACACAATGCATTTAATTCATATGTGATTTAATTGAATTAACTTAATTTAATTCATGTGTTCAACCACCCCTTGTGTTACAACAAGTCAGGGTACCACTGCCATGCTCCAGTCCCAAACCACAGCAGCTGCAATCCCGTGTCAGTAACTCCCCTCTCTGCTGTCTCGCTTTCTTCCCTGCTTTACCCACAGATTCCCCTGTTCTGGGGATGAACACCATGGGATCCCACCACTGGGAAGAAGAAGATGTCTCCTTTAGCCAAGCCAGGCAGGCCAACAAGCAGCTGCAGCAACGTTTGTGGGTCCTGCCATGGCAGGAGCTGGCGGAGGCGTGCTGATAGCCCGGCAGCAGCTGCTGTGTGGGGTGAAGGGAGGGCCCCAGGGCCCCATCCCGCACCAGTACTTCTGTCTTCACCCTTCCTATCTCAGCGGCAGAGGCAGCAGCAAGCAACAAGCCTGGTTTTCCGTCGCAGTGCTGCCCTTCCTTCCCCTTTCCTGTGGCAGGAGCAACCCAGCCCCGGCCCCTCGTCCCCAAGACAGCAATATTCAGTGCTGCCAGGCCTCCTGAGGAGCCCCGAGGTGGCTCTGCCCCTGGCTCTCTTCTGAGTTTTGAGGGAAAAGTCAGATGTTTCTGCTAAATTAGGATGCCAGGCTTGCAATCAGGCTTCACACATGCTGAATATCCTTCTGGTTAAGGCAAGGTCGCTGAAATTGGAGTGCTCGGCCCAGCTGGGCCTGAAAGGATTTCAAGGCACGCGTCCTCCATGAACCAGTGTCCAGCCCCCAAAGCGCGCTGCCACCAGCCAGGCCTCCTCACCACACAAGGGGCTGCTGCCTTGTCCTCACTGCCCTTTGCTCAGGAAACTGCCTTTTTCTGGGGGAATTTTGGCAGGCTGCTCTGGCCTTGAACCTGCATTACAAACTAGGGAAAACACCGGAGTCCCGTGCCTTTGAAACCACCTTGAGCCTCGCATTGCTCTGTTTCTCCCAACAATTCCCATTTGTGTGCTGTGATCAAGTTCCCCCAGACACTCGAAGCAGAATATCTGGGCAATTATAAGCTGAATTTGTGGTTCAGCTTGTGCTTTCCTCCCGTGGGCTGAACCCTGAGCTCCTGTGACCGGGCAGTGCCGTTTATACAGCCCCGGGATGCGGCTTTATGGCCAGCACAGAGAGATGGACGCAGGGCTCCTCCAGATGAGACTCCAGCACTCAGTCTGATCTCCAGAGCCTTCCTTCCACATCCTTGCAAGGCTTTTAACAAGGAAGGCTGAGCTTGAATCTCCCATTCCAAAGTCCTGCGTGGATCTCAAAGGCACAGAGGTCCTCAGTGGCCACGGGGATCCCTGAACATCCCATGGGGTGGAGCAAGGACCTTTGTCACCTTGGTTCAGTCTTGCTCTGGGGCAGTGACTGCTGGCAGAGGGGGCAAAAAATGCCAACAGTCATCACAAAATCACCCGGCACTGTCTGGCAGAGACCTCAAAGTGACCCAGAAGACACACTCCTGGCAGAGCCAATCTCTTTTCAACCACAGAGCCATCCTTCCTTCCCCATGTCTCTGTGTCACATGCTCCAATCGTGGCGGTATTTCTCCAACACAATGAAATAAACCCATGTAATAGAATTGTTATTTTTTTTTCCAGCTCTTGAGTTTATCTATCCAGAACATTTTTAGGAGCTGGATAGCAGAGCAGAATGCCAGTCTCAAAATCATAACTTTTAAAGTTGGGTGAAAAATTAAAACAAATTAAAAATAGATATTAAATTTGAGAGAGGCTGAAAAAGTTCTGCTGGAACTTGGAGGAGTTTCAAATGTTATTTTTAACCATAGACATTTAGCTCTTATGGGAAACAAAACTTAGAAGGACAGATATAATTAGGTCAGATATTGAGAAACTTATTATGCTTTGCTACAGATGATCCCAGGAGAATGTAACTTAAGCCCTTTTTTTTTGTATTAAGATTCAATCATGGTTCTTCACTTTTTTATGTAGAATGCTGTTCAAAGAATAAAATAAAGTAGGATAGAAATATGCTTTGTATTCCTAACTGTTTCAGCATGTGAAGCAATGAACGTTTGACAAGAAATCCGAGGACAGAAGGCAAGATTTTTATTTCATTTTGTACCAAAATACATAACATTATGCTAGCATCTGTGCCTGGTTTTGTTCCCTGCGTAGATACAATTGATACACGGCTGATACTGCTATCTCCTGGGATGATCTGATGCGTGGCACCTCCAAAGCACCGCTGCGCAGATATCGGCTACGCCTTGCAGCATGATTGCAACACAGGCATCGTTCAAACGACAAGTGGGGAAACTGAGGCAAGGAACCTGATGATCAACACCAAGCCTGTTTCACAGCTGCAGTCAGGACTCAGGAGCTTCTGCCTTCTGCTCCCGTTGCTTCTGCAGAGGCATCCACCTTCACAAAAGAAATATACATTTCATACAGAACCGGAGGAGAAAAGCCTCTTTCAAAAGAAGAAATGAGCCAGTAGGTGGCTGATAGAGGGTACTGCTAACACATGGATCTGTCATTACTCATAGCATTTATCATGTCTGTTACTGAGGCACACTGTTCTTTAAAGTAGGTGTCTAATTTGAGGGATACTGGTTTTCTCAGCAGCTACAGCGATCTGGGGGGGAAGTCTTGGTAAGCTGCTTGAAGTGAGATATCGCACATCATTCATTGTAAAGCCTGCTTGGAGGGAAGTGGAAGTGGACTGGAGTCATGGTAGGCAGGTCCTGAATACCACGTTTTCCTGGCAGAGCCCCACAGACTCAGGAGTAGGAAAAACAATCAATATTCTCACTAACATGGATTTGTCGGCACCTCTTCTGGAACCCACAGCCAAGTCAGACACCACATATACAAGCAAAAGAGCCTTTTGGCTAGGTAGCTTCCATTTCTCAAAGATGGTTTAACTCTATCAGCAACAGGTCTCTGCTAGTATAAAATGTTTGTCCAGCCAGCAGGGAGTTTGTGTGTATAGCTATTAGCACAAATCCTGTGGTTTAGATGGATTCTCAACTGCCATGCAATTTTTTACAACGTTTGGATCTGGAGTTTGGGTCAGACCCTTCATTACAGGTGAATGAAAGCAAAGGAGTCTCTTTCTAGATCATGTCCAGGCCAGGAGTAGTGAGAAGCCACTTTTGAATCCATCTTGAACCTGAGGTGCAGATTAGCAAGATGAACATAATTTTCCAAGGTAAGTAAGAATCTCATGTGTGGCCTGTAAGAAATCTTCATCGAGACCAAGTGGTAGAAGGTGACTGACTCCTGTACTGCACTGTAAAGCATATATTTGTGTTAACGTAAGAGTTTCATCCATCCCACTGTTGCCAATATTCAGGACTTTATTTGCTTTCTACACTTGTAAACAGTAGAGATTACAGACATAGTTTCCTTGTCTGCCACAGGAGGTATTAAGGTTGATGAGCTGTTCCTAATTATTGCTAATGACTACAAGGTAGTGATATTGCTCTTCACCTTCAAGGTAGTAAGTGGCATCAAGCTATGTCAATAATTTCCCAGAATAAACATTGTATTCTTACTTTCCAATGTAAATTGCACTCTTATTGATGCAATAGACTGTAACTGTTTCTTCAGGCTGTGGAAAACTTCCAGTAAGCAATAAAAGCCTCGGCCATGTAATTCTGTTGGGTGCTAGTTCCTCCCAGTGCTTTGCTTGCTGAGCTTACAATAGAGCCATACAAAAGAAACAAATTCCCTGTCTGCAACATATGAACTGTACAGCAAGCGTGTTTTTTTCCTTTCCCAAGCAGAGCTGGGTTGATCTCTCTAAAATATACCACTTCCTACATGCCACCACAGAACCTCACTGCCCTTAGAAATTCATGTCTGCTGAGTTATATCTCAAAGCCCTGAAGTCACCTTTCCAAGACTGCCTGTTAGGGATAACACTTTTGCTGGTGTCCAAACTGACATAAATTAAGACTTATTGAGATTAACATGGAGAATACATGTATTTTCCTATGCTGAGTAACTCTGTAGGCACACTTCTACAAGAGCTCTTTCTTTCCTGCTATTTCTCTTCTCTCAGACATCTGTCAAGTCTATCCCAAGCCTTGTCAACCTGCTCGTATTGCTTGGTACAGTTCTGCCAAGAGACTGAATTCCTTTACTCAAGGTACATTGGCTAAGGAAGGTGTCATTGTTGTATTTATTTATTTAATTAATTAATTTTATTTTGGCTGAGGCAGCTGGTCTAACTTTCCTCAGTTTAAAAATCTATCCCAGCAAAATCACTTTTTTTTGCTTCTGCACCAAGACTCAACTTTTTCCAGCATACAAACACCATTTGTGTGTGTAACACCGCATGCTAATGACTGGTGTAGCAATAACAGCTCTCTCCTGACACAATGGCTGAGCTCTGAATTTGACATTTGAGTGTTCCCTGCTGTAGGCAATAGTGGCTCTGTCTCCAGAGTAGAGGCAGGGGAGCAGACTATGCAGAAAGCAAACTCTGCCTTAGGTTTTCAGGATGCTCAGCTAAAAGATGTTATCAAGAGAACATGGAGCTTCATCCTCAGGTTTTGACAGGTAAAATTGTCTTCCTTTTGATCCTTGAAACATCATATTTCTCTGTTAGTATTCAAGGCAACCAGTAGGATAGCTACTCGCCTTTTCTATTTTTCAGAGAAAAGCAAAACCAAATTCTTCCTGGTTTGATACAAGAGAGACACTGTCTACTTGAAATAGAGCCAGCTTTTGAAAATGAGTTAAAAGTCATCTCCTTGCCAATTTTTGTGGGTGTTCATCCTGCCTGGGTAGCAAGAAAATTCCTGCAGGGAATGAATGTCAGAGCAAGCAGGTAATGAAGAGCTAAACCCCTGCGAAATTTCTTTCTTCCTTCCTGTGAGGAGGAGGAGGAGAGGGGAAGGCAGATGGTAACTCTTCACTGGAGCACTGTGCGTATGTCTGTTTTTGAAGCTTTACCTCTACTGAATTGATGCATTTGACTAAAAAATTATATTTTTCCTGCACAAAACAGGAGTAAGACATCAGCATATTCAATGGCTGCATTCCTGTGAGCTGGGGGAAAGTACTTAGGAAGGCAGGGAGAGGAGAGAGTAGGAGCTGCTTGCTGCAGAGAGCACTCCCAGCAAGAAGAACATATCAGGACAACTGCCAGCACGCTGAGTGAAAGGTGTTGGGGAGTGTTTGTTGTTCAGATTTACCAAATTGATGTGATTTATTGTGCTTTTCTTTCATCCCCCTCCAAGATGTTACATCTGTTTGAATACATTTTTTACTTTATTGCTCATTATTGGAGATATTTCACTCAGTGAGGCCCAAGTAATATAATGCAATTTCCCAGATTTCACCACGGAAGCTCAAAATGATGTTTAAGTGCTTCTCTGCAAAGGCCCTCTAAAAATTGAACCCAAGCCCTGCTTCATTAGTCAGTTTGTGGCAGAACAGCAGGAAAGCCTGTCTCAACTTGAATTTTATGTCTATATTATATATATATATATTCACAATAAAGCCATAACCTAGGCCTACATCTTCTCAGAAAAACAGAACGTGTCAAAAACGTCGTTAAAGCAGTATTTGTTCATTAGCCTCTGATCACATTTTAAGGAAGACAAAGCAGTACATCCTTTTAAATGCAAGGGGAATATTTCCTAAATTTCCTATTTCCTAAATTTTGGGGGCATAAAATTTGTCTACTTGAGCCAACTGGGGAGTCTGAAGTCCATCATGCTGTGGGTGCCAGGGTGAGGATGATAAAAACCTATTTAAATCTACAATGAATGCACTGGATTGTATTAGTTTCACCTTTCTGAAAATACTGCATTCCAACATATTCAAAATGAAACCTTAGCTTTTTTTTTCACATCAAAAAACCCTTTCCTTTCAAGTTTTACCTACATTTAATTTAGCAAAAATCATTTTATCTCCCCAAGTAGAGCACAGTGCCTTCTGTCTTTGTGCCCAAGTCCCACATTTTGTTTCTTTACTGACTCTCTGTTTCAGCAGGAGCAGCAAAAAAAGCTTTCAGTCCAGAGCAGCCACAGACCTCATGGATCTTTATTCATCAGGTGAATGCCAAAAGTCAGTAATTTGTGAAGTTGGGCAAAACCGAGGGGTTTCACCCACACTGGCCTGGAAACATCACTGCCCTCACAGGGACACCCCCAGGCATGGAGAGCGTGCTATCAGGGGAGGGCTGGGGGAGCCCTAATTAGCACCTCAGGAGGGTGCTGATTAATTGGGTTAATTGGCAACCTGAGCTGTGAAGTACAATGCCAGGCTGGAAGAGTGAGGCCTGGTGGGGTACATTGGGCTCTGTCTGCCACTGTGGTCTCCTCAGCCGCCAGAAGCTTCCCCCAGCCCTGAGGTGGGGAGGAACGGGCCCTGCCGCCATCTTAGGGCAGCGTGAGGGGCTGGCATGGCCATATTCCTCCTCCTTTCACTTGTCTCGTGAGGAATTACCAGTGTTGCCCTCTCCCTGTGGAAACACATGGAGTTTCCTAGCAATTTCTGGGCAGGAGGCAACTGGGGAAAAGCACAGCGCTCGAGGAGCAAGTGGCAGCAGCAAATCCAAATGATGGCGGCCACCCACCTGTACAACATCCATCACATTACTGTGGGGAGTCTGGCTTTCCTCCAGACGGTCAAACTGCCACCAGTATTTTCCAAAAAGATCCAGTGCCCACTGCTGCAAACAGTGTATGTGGCACTGGAAAAAGGCAGGGAGACAATGTCAGTGAGGTGGGGTTTGTATCAGCACCACTGCCCAGCCCATGCCCTGCAGCAGACAGCAGAGAGGGACGGGGGGAAGGAGTGAAAACAGCTATGTTTTTGGTGCAAGATCCAGGGAGGAACGAAATAGTTTGAAGTTGCCTTGTTTTTTGTTTTTTGTTTGTTTGTTTGTTTGTTTGTTTGTTTTTTTCTCCTTTTTTGTCTCATCCTATTCTGAACCAAGGACAGGAAGCAAAGAAGTCCTGGAAACGTTTCATTGCTTTGGTTTTATGAAATCAGGAAAATAAGAAGTATTTAATTAATTCTGAGTAGTCTGAAATAGTCTACTTCTGCTTTTGTGTCTATAATTCTCCATGAAAGTCCTTAAAAATCCTTGCCTGTTTCTTTCTGTTGGACGTAGCTAAAGAAGACGCAGGGCAGTCCCAATGAATCGGCATGCAGCTACCTTGACCCTTGGCTTCTGCTGAGATCTCAGCAACACGCAGCAGTTGTGGAATGCCTATCCTGCTTTACATTCAGCCCCTAGCTTATTCTGGAATAACTTTCATGTGTAGACAAGCCAGGACAAGGCTGCAGTGCTAACTACGCCGTCTTTCTGTCTTCAGAAATTCTCCCATGGGAAGGGAATACTTTATTTCCTCTTTAAAGCAGTGATTTGTCCCAGTATCTTCCACAGCTGCACAAAAAGGGGGAGACTAGACACCAGGATTTGTCCAGAGTGAGATGGGCTGGATCTGGAATAAGCAACTCAAACTCCCTTTAAGTTAATGTCCCAGCTACCATTTTAAGATGGATCCAAACCAGAACACTGAATGCAACTCCTCTAATGCCAGGGAAATTCAAATCCAGGTCCAACTTAGAAACCTAGGAATGAGAGGTGAGGTAATATGACACTTCCCTTGGGATGGCTGTGCAAAAGAATGCAGGAAGAAGGAAAAATTAACCCTGTCTGCATGCAAAGCAAGCCACGTCCCTCCTGCTCTCCAATCCTGGGGGAAAGACTCTGCTTGTTCAAGATTTGAGCATTACTCCTACCGCCCAGACAAGAAAGGGCATGATACAGTTCTAATGACTGGGATCTAGGGGAATGTGGAGTTCATGACGAATATTGCAGACTTAGCAATACGGATTTTGGTGGTGTGGGGGCGGCATAAAATAAAAAGAATAAGATTTTAGAAACATCTGCTTTGATTTGATGCAAGAAAGATAGTTAGTAAATAAGCTGCACCTGATATTTATTACATTTTTACAGGTGAGCCTCACCTACACTTGAATATTTATTCAGCTGTATAGCACAGGATTCAGAGTGAATGTCATATGATTGTCTGCAGTGAATAAAGATAACCCTAGAAATCAGTACCACAGGCACTTGCTGTACTGTCCCTTTTATCATGGTTTCACAGCATTTACACTATGATAAAAAAATGGCAAAGTGATTTTGAAGGCAGATGCATCAGTATAGCAGCCTCACTCAAAGCTTCTATTAGAATATTTTTTGGAGAGGGAAGAGAGAAATTTTGAAGGAGATGGAATCTGAAAAAGAGCCTGGGGCAATGGCTGATTTCCACTTCAGCAGACATCAGGGATGGGCGAGGGAATCTCAGCTGTGGTACCATCTGAAGGGTGACACTTTCAGTTGAGTAGCACCTAAGTGCCATGCATCATCAGCCAACGTTTTGTTCAATATTTATACAGAGCCAACACCTGTAATTTCCTGGTCTAGAAGTTACGGGAATACCAGCTAATGCAAGGAAGCAGTATCTACTAATGCAAACAAACTCACTACAGATATACTTATTTGTCTGTCAGTGTTGTGCTTGCTGATAAAAGGCAGATATTTCGTCCCGAGTTTGCAGATGTACTTAGTCAAAGCTGAAGAATCGAAAAAGATCAGGTGTGAAGGACTTATGACATTAAAAACAGGACGTGCATATTGCAGACGATAATCCAGTATGGAAGGATTGAAACATAAGGTGACTTTACTTACTCCTACCTTTTGGAGCAGTGACTATTGAAGTTAGCTGGAAAAAAAAAAACAAGGCAATACACAGCCAAAACCATGGAGCTGCATATGGTTTTGACTCAAAACTGTACAAAAAGGCAGACTTTTAATGGTGTTGGAGTCAAAACCGTAATTCCCTCCTTCCATTTTGAGTTTCCTCGTTCCCTTGGGGAAGGATGCCCAGCAGGAAGCTCAGCCCTGCTGTAGCCAGGTTGGCCTTGGTTTGTCGTGAAGGGCTGCGGGGCAGTCAGGGGAGCTCAGCTGAGGCTTGGTGCTGGAACAGTGAAGCCCACAGCCGAGCTCCAGAGAGGTCCCAGGTAGTTCTATTTAGAAGCTACAGCTTCCACCAAATTAGTTATGGCCCCCTGCGGGCTTAGATCTAGGCCAGTTTTAAAACGATCGCAGCCCATTATATTTAAATACTCACCCGCAGCTTGCGTGGTAGCAGTGCAGCGTCTAAACCAGGTCGGTGACTAATCAAGGGCAGTTTGTGCTAAAAAGGAGGAAAGAAACTGTGGCACATGCGTGGCTTCAAGATGGGGCCCAGTGTCACACGCTCTGCCAACGTGGGGCCCTGTAGCGCTGGGGTCAGCCTCCTCCCAGGCTGGTCTTGGGCATTATCTGGGTTCCTGTTGAAGGGAAATCTGATGTTTTCACCCAGATTTGAGTACTGAAAGGATATGGTGTCACAGCTATCTGATTGTAGGATGAAGGGCGCTGTTCGCATCATATTAAGGATGATACTTTCTCACGTGCACTGGTATAAAGTTACACCCACAAGTGTCTCACATATAATTGTCTCCACATGTAAGTGCCCTCTCAAGCCTCTGCGTGAAATTGCCCTGATCTCTGAAGATTCAACGGGATTAATTTCACCCTACTTCGGTGCTTACCGTGTCTCTTGCCTCAGTTAGTCAGCTGGGCTCCCTCTGTAGTCAGAGAGAAGCAGTTTTACCTGATCTCCTGGAGGTATCTGCACGAGGACAAGACGAATCAGGTTCTGGAAGTGCTGATTTTTCTCAGGTGACTACAGAGGAATCCAGCACTTTGCTTCGGAGCTGCTGTCCCCACACCCCAGCCTCCTGCTCCCCGTGTTACAGCCGGGTCTCTGCCTCCCTGCCTGCCCATAGTTTCCACAGGAAGCGTGTGTGGGTGGCAGATGTGATCAGCCCCACAGGATAATCCTGGCTGACACGCAGCACTGCAACCAGAGATCCCATCTGGAGGTGGAGTAAGCTGCAAGGTGTATCTGTGGGAAGGGAAGGGGCTCAGGTGCTTGTCACAGTGATCCAAGAGACCAGAAACCCAACGAACCTGAATGTTTTTAGCCATAAATGCAGCACAGGAACCACCTAACCCTCCAGTATATGTTGCTATGATTCCCCCCCTGTTTTTACAGGCTTTCATTTTTACTTTGGCTTAGCCCTTTGGTGAGGGAGGTGTCTCCTTCCTCTTTCTCTCCAGGCCTTTCGATCTCTGGACCTTCTGCACCCCGTGCAGCTGCAGAACGTCGCCTCTCGAGGTCCTCCCACAGCCCCAGCCCTGTTAGGGTGGCAGCCAGCCATCCCACCCTGTGCTTGCTTAACCCTGCCTGGCCACACCAGCCTTTTGCTGGAAGACCCCTGCTCCAAGAGGCAGGGAAAGCCAGGACACAGGGAAGCTGGCTTAGCAACCCAAACCCATCCTGGGACTGCCTACAAACAGACCTGGCGATGAGCCTGGCCTCCCGTGAGCTCCCAGGGAGAAATACCACGACGAGCAACTGCAAAACACAAAGAGAAGAGGCTGAAAGGAAGCAGCTGAGCTTCGCAGATGATCTGAAGCAGAATCTAGTGGGTGTTTCTCTCCTTTCAGTTCCCTCTGAAAACCCTGGCTCGCAGCGGTAAGATCACATGGGTGCACAAGCCAGATATTGCACAACCTCCTTCCCCACCGCTGAAGAGGCGGCGTGGTTGTTTTTTAATATACACTGCCCCCTCTGGCTTCCCTCTCCGCTGCTTCTCTGCTGCCAGGTGCCAAGCTCCTGCAGGAATTAGGAGAGAAGAGGACAGCAGCGAAGCTTTACGGATCATGTCAGCCAGGCCACACCATGTCCTCGGGCAACACGGGAGAAAATGGAAAAGGTGCTGGTTGGAAAATCTGGCAAAATCTGTCACTTCTGGGGCACGGGAGGCACAGGAACATTTTTCAGCCTCGAAGTGCAGTCCTCATCCCTGCAGCCGGCAGGGTTCATGTAATTGGACGTCCATTTATTTTTGTTTCTTTCGCGGTTTTGCTTAGCAATGTTAGCACTTACACAATCTCCAGCAGCCTTGGATACGAGCACCTCATGACAACGAGCAGGGGACAGGATTCGTGCCGCCACGGCTGCTGCGTTTCGCTCGGAGACAGGTGTTCTCGGGGATGGCTGGGAGAAAGTGGGCTTTGGGTGGGGAAAACTATCTTTATAACAGATAGGTCTAAGAATAGACCGACTCCTTGGCTTGGACCCATCTCTCAGAGACATCCAGATGGGAATCCTGAGTCCAGTGAGTCAGACCGTCTGTGCAAGATGAGGGGGCAGAGGGCTCCTTCTCTGCAGATCTTGCTGGATAAGCAGGATTTAGGGAGCATTTTCACCCCCGTGAAAGCTCCCCGTGACCCGGCAGGGTTTTGGGGCACCCGTGCAGAAGGTTATGGCTGTGGGCAAGACCGTTTTCATATGTTTTCCCCAAAAATACAGCCACCAGCACATCCCTCGCTGGCTGCGCACCGGGAAAGCTCTCCCAAGAAGGCAGAAAGGGAAATTTGATGGCACTGTTCCAGAAGAGGAAATGAGGCAGAGATGCGCTCAAAGCATCTGAGGAAAAGGGCTTGTCCTCCTGTGGGTTCAGAGAGGATTTTGCTCAAAGGAGAGAAAGGAGAAGGTGGTCCAAAAAGGCTGGATTTGTCCCCGTTGTGAGATCCCCTGTTGCCTCCCTTCGCTGGTGGGCAAAGGACAATATTTCTAAAGCAAAAATGGGCAAAGAACAAAGCGGTGGCAGGGCTTTTTGAAGCTATTTGATACATTTTCACACATAGCAGGCACATAACCCTTATTTGATTGGGTATGCCAGAAATGAACTTTCTCTTGAATGTATGGCCTTTCAGAGCTGGCACAGAAAAGCTGGCCAGATAAACACAGCGTTGGTTTTGGTATTCTTTAGAAGTGGCTTTGAAGCTGTAAGGATCACTGCTCTTGGATTGAGTGATGTCAGGAATCATCCCTCAGGAGGCAACTGGGTCATTCAGAAACCAAGCCAAAACCAAGGTCTTTTCAAGGTGGTATTTCTAAGAGTGAATGGAGAAATCTTCGCTCTCGAACCTGTGTGCTCACAGGTGAGTGAGATATCTGCTGACATATATTTTATGTATATCTTTTATATGGATTCACCCCTTTCCTTATTTCTACAATAAGGAAAAATAGTGTCTTTGTGCAACATTTACTTTTCATTATTTGGCAGGGAATGCTCTAAAATAAATTTTCCTGAAGCAAAGCCATCACAGGAAGGGTTGTTCTCGTTTCTTCTTGCATTTGCTGCGGTGGAGAGCAGCAGTGGTCCTCCATCCATCCCTCTGAGATGGTCGTGGACCGTGCGGTGAGGGATCATGGTTATTTGTGAAGTGTTTCCAGTGCTCAGAGACAAAAGAGATATGACAGGATAAAGTATTAATTCTATCGCATCTTGATGTTATCCCTATAAATCCCAGAGACAAATAACACCAATTTTAGCAAATCACTCCCTATCTGTTCAGGATGGCATTTCAGGCTTTGGTAGAGCAGTAAATTAACACTGCATCCTGGATGACTGGCTGAAGAGCTCTGAGCATCTCCTGAGCTTCCGTGCTCACGGATTTTAAACTTTCAGTATTCCAGGATGCTGACAGACGCTGTTTTCCCAAAAGACATGCTTCTGTCAAGTCATCTGTATAACTCAGTGCAGCATCATGAAACAAATGCACCTCTTCTGCATCTGTAACACTTTTCCTCTTGATGACTCTGTTCAGGATGACTAAGGTCCTGGTCTCTAATACCCAGAGAAATTAGTGGAAGTGAGGCATGTGTCTGCTTTGTTGTTTTTAATCTTCCTTAATTTTCATGTAGACCCACAGGGATTGGCTTCTTGTATGGGAGGGGATGACTGTGCGAGTGTCAGAGAGCTGTTACACAGGGAATAAAACTGGCAAATGGTGTAAGGGCGAACGGAGTGAAACTCCTGGCAGGTATCACTTCCACGGGAGAAATAAACCAGGGAAATGTCTGAGCATGCAGTGAAACCAGCTGCAGATGCTCCTTTTTCAGATTTTCCCCTAACCTTTGTAGCTCGCCTGTAGCATGTTAAGGACAAGCTCCTAGGTGTGAGCACAGGGCTGGACCTCTTCAAATGCCACCTGAAAGTGCTGTGGATGCAGGGGGCAGCCGATGGAACACGTTCAGATGTTTCCAGAGGCTCTTGCAGCCCTTAGAGGCTAGCCAGAAATTTTCATCAGCTAAAGCCCTAATCGCACGTACTCTAAACCATAGCAGAAGCATTGATTCATTGAATGGTTTGGGTTGGAAAACACCTTAAAAACCATCCAATTCCAACCCCCAAAGGCAGAGTAAAGCTGTGCCTGCTCCGGGCTGACACTTCTGTTCAGTTTATGCCGTGAATTATGCCTAGACAAAAAATGTATTAAGAAGCTAAGTGGAACTTGACAAACCATCAAGATATGTTTTATAGGGAGAAAAAGTACAAAATGAGTAATATTTATGCATAGTTAAAGCATATTTGCCAAATGCTGGTGAAATGGGAAATATTAATTAATACTTTTTTTTTTTTTTTTTTACAGCAGAAAATTAATTGAAATTATTCAGAGTCCAATCCTGCTCTCCTCGCGCTGTGACTAATCTAAGCGAGATGAATAGGCTACTTGTAGAACAAGAAACTGCTCAGCATGACTAACTTTGGAGGAATCAAGCCCTCGCTGAGCATTATTAACCAGGTTTGAAGCACAGTGCTCATTTTGTGTTCTCCCACTGAACGTCAGGCAGTTTTCTCCGTTCCTTTAGCTTTCCAAGATGCCCAGGAAGGTGGCCTTTCAAACCGTGCCAACAAAACAAGCTTGCCATGAGAGGTGCAAATGGTATTCTTGCAGGTGTCAAACAGCTACGCCACGTGCAAGGAGTGAAGTCACTCCTTGTAGCACCCTCAGTGTCAAAATGCTGCTTCCCGGAGCCAGCTGAAGGCAGATGATGTCAAGGCACAGCTCAGGACCTTCCCCTGCATTTCTCAGGGCACTCGTTTCTGCAGCCATCTGCTGCGCAGAGCCGATGCTCTCGGTGGTGTTCATTATGAGACATGGTTTTAAAGCATTTAACATAACCACAGCCTGACAGACAGGAAGATGTTTATCCCCTTAGGGAAGGGATCAACAAAAGTGCATCTGGAAGCAAAGCAACGCGTTTGGATCCTGTCCTTGTGGCCTGGCTCCATAAAAGAGGAAGCCAATCTTTCTTTTTTGCCTTCAGGAGGACTTTACACTTTTGATCCAGAAATGTGTTAGCAGAGATCAGAGAGAGGAGGTGGCATCCCAGATGGCCCACTTGGATCCATCCTTGGATTTCCCCAGAAGGGGATCCTAATGATCTTTCTGAGTCCTGCTTTTTCGTTTTCTGTGTCCCATGCGGGCAGCTCAGCCTCTCTAAAGGCAGAAAGGAGACATCTGCCCGGCAGCAGCGCCGGCACGCTGAGGAACTGGTGCATGTTCCAGATAGCTACTATTTTTCTCTTTGCACCTGACCTAAGGCAAGGACTTTTCCCTTGGTTCTAGTATCAGGAGAAAAAATAAAAAATAAATAATAAATCCTGAAGTTATGGCTACCTATTAAGCTATTCTAATTTATTTAGTGTTGGTCTTTACGTAATCAGGTCTTATATAGGACTACAGGCTTTCTGATTATCCCCTGCTCAACACACATGAAAGGCAGGCTTGTAATTCATGCTACGATCCAGGATGCTGTGAGCAGCAGCGGAGAGGACCACCCCGAGGCTGAGTCATGCCACCTACACCAGACACCTCGCCCAGGAGGCTGTGAGTCAGCCGTGAGAGCGCCCATCTCCCCGCGGATGGCAGGGACAGGGACGGCTGGCACATGGCAGCTGCCCAGATTTTCGGTGGCTGGGCTTAGGTGAACTCTGCCCCGGCTCCCTGCCGTCAGAAACGGGGCATTCTGCCTTTAAACCCCGGTGGTCACAAGTTATGGACACATCTGAACCCCTTTGCTTTGCTCATCCTACTCGAGTTTGGCGCTGGAAAGCTGCTCTGCCTCTTCGAGAGCTGGCTCTGGGAGCATTTGTCAAACTGAGAGCATTTACAGGAGACTCCTGCTCTTTAATGGGGCCTCATAAGTTCCTTCTAAACTTCTGATATCTACTGGGAAGAGGGACAGTGGCCTTCTTGCAGGGGTCACAGGGCTTTCTTCATCTTGGCTCCCACCACCAAACCCACCATCTTGGCTTCCCACCAAAGCCAGCATCATTCCCACTGGTCTTTATGGACTCAGGGGGTTCATTTATATCTCTGCAGTGCGTGCCAGGTGCTGATTTTTCTTTTCAACAAGCATTTCCTTTCATTTATCTACATTGCATCTCCTGTGCCTTGTATTGCCCTTCAGCTCCCTTCAGGTTCTTGAAAGCTCTTTGCTCCTATGGTCACAACTTTACTCCATTACTGCCCTATAGCTCAGAAGGGCTCGTGCACAACATTGTGCCTTTTGGACAAACTGTCACCAGCCAGAGGCTCGCGTGGCTTTGTGCTGATGCCATGCTCTGAAGCCTCTTACGGAGGCTTATTTTCTTGTTAAGTAGCTCTTCTCAACCTGGACACGCTCTCCTATTGACTTAAAGGTCATGTTTAACCTCCAAAATCCCCGTCCAGAATCCTGCGGGCTGCAACGTGAATTTTTGAGCAGAGAAGGATCGAGTCTGGGGAAAAACTGCAAGGAATGATGCTGCGGAGAAATATCCCACCATCTCCTAAACACCCTGCCTGAGCTCTTGGCTTCTCTTGTGGCTACAGAATGCTACCTAAGACATATAGCCCATGTTGCAGTTTCCCTTTGGAACAAATTATAACATTTTTAGCTAAACATTTATGGTTTAAGCATCATTTTTTATTTAGGAATAGAAAACAGTGCAGTTAAAATTCTGAGCTGTTTGCACTCATTTTAAATAACTCGTTTTGGTGATGGATGGCTTATGTTTGATTGTTAGACTGGTTTGCACCGAACTGTAATCCAGTAATCAGATGGTTCATTGCTGCAGTTCTGTGCAAGAATTAATTGGGACACCAGGTGCTGGCCTTGTACACCTTAGGTAGAAGTTCCTGAGAACAAGATGCTTCTGTGTGATTGTTGTTCTAGCCTGAAACTGTGTTAAATTCATTAGATTGGAAACCGAGCGGCATGGAGAACATTTGAGAGGGTGAGAAGATTATTGGCCTCTGGGCTGCTAGGCTGTTGTTGTGAGCTTTGAGGATATTTCTCCTTTTTCTCTCCTGTTTTAAAGTGAGCGTGAAACATCTGCGAAGCCTTTTCTACAACGTGCCAGGAGTTTTTAGACAACTCTTTCACATATCAACCCTTATTGTGTCCTATCCATTATTTCCCCTAACCCTTTCTTTGTACAGCCCAACAATTGAATACTAATTACACGAGGGGAAGCTACCTGATTCATCACCAAGCCTTTCATTTTCTGACAAGGTTAGCCACGGCCGGCATATTTTCCAATAACCTCTTCATTCCTAATATCCTGTTCAAGGTATTCATGCAGCTTCCAGTGCCCATCAAATCAGGAGCGATAAAAAATAACCAGAAATCATGCTAGTATCTGTCACTCGCTATTCTTCTGTTTTACAAGCTTGTCATCCAGTTAGGGAACATAAGATACACTGTGTGACTAGTCCAATACCACTAACAGACAGCAACTTGTCAAAATGAACATTTGCAGACAACCCACAGCATAAAAATGTTTTTTTCTTTCTTTTTTCTTTATTTTTTTTCTGAAGCGTTTGAGAACACTTACAAACAACAATCACATTCAGGAAAGCCTGAGAGTAGCATTCAACCCAACAAAGTCTCAACTTGTGTTTTTGACTCCTTATTCCAAGTGCGCTGTGTGCCTGCTCGTGTGCGGCACTAACCACGTGGCTTCTTCACCCAGCAGTGAAATGAATTAAAACGCCAAGTAACGGGGCTTATATTGTGCATTTTATTCTCTGTGGCTCTCCTGCTCTGCAGAATCTAGAGTGACACCTACGTAGGTACACGGGGCACGTGATGAGCCAGCCTCAGGCACCAAGGCCATCCATCAGACTCTCTCCAACCCCACAACTCAAAACACCCTGTTAGGAAAGGGCTTTGGCCTCTGGCTGGTCCTGACTGATGCCTGGGGAGCTTTCTCACACTGCAGTGGAAGTCTGTGGGGAATTTTGTGGGTTTCCACAGGTGCTGTCCTCAGCTATTAGTCTGCAGGGTGACCAGCTGCCTGAGGTGGCCGTGCTGAGGCTCTGGGTGGATGCTGCAGGCAAGCAGCGGGGTCAGGGCTCTGTGCTCTGGGATTGCTGCCTGGTTATGGGATCACAGGGAAGAATTGCCCTGGAAGATGCCACAAGGGAAAAAGATGCCCAAGAGAACAAGCCAATTTCTAAAAACAACCGAGGGTTGAGGAATGAACTGTCCCATTAGGCACCCAGAACAGGGATTTCAGGAGAAGGCCTGCGTGCCTCAGCAAGGAGATTTTCAGTGAAACTGACTGCCAAAAAGGAGGCGAATAATAAGAGGAAACAAGGACAGGGAGCAAATCAAGAGTATAAAAGCACTGCTTGGGGATTTGGGAACAAAATCAGGAAGGCCAAAGCCCCCTTGGTGGTAAAACTAGCAAGAGACCTGAAGGGTTAGAAGGAGTATGCTAGTAACGTAGAAAAGTTCAGGTAAAAAAATAGTGTTTTTGTGTTTTGTTTTGTATGAAAGAGGTGAATAACCTGGGTGAATAACCCAGGGGGCACACCAGGGGACCGGAGGGACTTTGCTGCATCCTCTGAGGGCAGCAAGCCCTCCTGGAGCATGCGGGCACGATCCATAATTCCTGCCAGAAATAGTGATGTTCATCAGAGAGGTGAGTGAGGTGGGGATTTTAGGTGGGCTCCAACTGGATGGGCTGGATCCAGCTGCCAGGCACTGCCAGGGCAAAAGTGCTGAGCTCCACCGAGGTGGTTTGATGGGCAGGATTAGCCCTTCTGCAGAGCTCTCCTTTACTGCATCGGGAGCATCCTGGGGTAGCGTTAATGCAGGGTTTAGATGCTGTAATTTGAAAGCTACCAGGAAATCTCCTTCATTTTGAACACAAGAGGTGTCATTTTCTCTACTTGTGGAGCCTTACAACCATCCCCTAAAGGAAGATTTCCCTGTACCCATTTGACTAAAGCAGTGCAATAAGCAAGACGGCACAGCATGGGCAGGGAAATGGCACACGTGCTTTCACCTCACTTGGCATAAATCAGAAGTGTAAGCCCAGCTCTTTGCCTGAGACCTTGGCACTGGTGGTTGTTCGCCACCAGGATTTGCCATGCAAAGAAATCTCACAGCTTCGTAGTGATTTTTATTTCCATTTGAGCAAAGACAAGCAAGTCTGGGCTGCAGGCTGGCAGGGCTTCCCTATTCTACCTCATTCAGCTGAGTGGTCCCTGGAGGAGATGACCTCACATGAGGTCTGTGCCATGTGGAAATGGCAATTCAAGTTTTATTATATATATATATATATAATTTTTTTTCCCCAGGAAGAACTTGTCTCCTTACAATAATATTCCTGGGATGTTAGGGGCAGGCAGAATAACACAGGGGCTTGGGATATTTATTGTTTTACCACCGCAGAGCACTGAGAACTTAAAAACTACTTGTGACTCCACCTGAAGAGTCGATTAAATGGATTAAATTTATAGCTTGCTGTGAAGGTATCCTGCCTTTAGGATCCTTTCTTTTTTCTTTTCTTTTCTTTTTTTTTTTTTTTTTTCTTTCCTTCTTCTTCTACTTTTTTTTTTTCTCTCTCTCTCTCTTTTTTTTTTTTTTTTTCTTTTTCCTTGTAACAAAAACAACCCCTGCTATGCAAAGACCAGAATTACTCATCCCATGCTGATGGATTGCCATACCCATTGTGCTCTATTCTGAGCAGTCACACTTTTCAGCTGGTACCTGGAAAGAACAGCAGCTCTTCGGAGGCTGCCTGGGATGGTTAGAAAATACCTGCCTGGGTGAGTCACCGGGGAGCAGAGGGGGAGAAGGAAGACTGGAAGCATTTACTTCTGCAGAACTGTTGCATGTGAAGAAGGATATTCAAAGAAAATGAGCGTGGAGTTGCTGTGTCCAGCCTGTAATTTAGCAAGAAAAGCATTTAATTTATTATTATTATTTTCTTTAATAAAACAAAGGAGAAATCTTCACTTCTCAGTTGGAACATTGTTGAAATATTCAGCGTGGCCACACCAGTCATAAAAGCTCCCCCACCCTTTTTTTCCTTATAAGCCTTGACTTTGGCCTCCTGTTTTGCAGCTATCAGAGGGCACGTTGGCAAACCCAATGGGACATCGGATTGAAGAGGGAATTAACCCCAAGAGAGTTGTCAAGCTGTGGTTAACACCTCGGGGGCTCAGGTTACTTTGCCTGGAGGTCAACCCTGAATGTCCTGCCCTTGCTGCACACACTGCAAAAAGGGGAAGAAGTCTCCTAGATCGGCTGTGCTGCCTCAAAACCACCTCCTCCGAATTATGTAGTGATTCCTGCATGGAGACACTCGTGGCCCTCTAATACCCAGAGCGGTAATTTGTGCACTCAGTAGCTGTTTAACACAAGTAGCTGGGAGGCCGTGGCATTAACCACCAGCAGTAATTAGCCATCTCCCTTTAATGGCCCCGCATCCCCACACACAGAGCCCCAGATGAGCTGGATGGTGGCCAGTGGCAAGCAAAAGCAATCTCCTGGCAGTGACGGTCCCGAAAACAGCGAAACTAAATAAGAAAATTGCAGCCCACAGACTTAATGTGGGTCTCTCAAGACTGGGTGTGAGCTTCCTACAATCTGGCCTCGCTGGGCACTGGCAAGATTAATTCCTGGGGCATCTGGCTCAGTAGCCAGGGTTGTGTAACAAAACAGAGCCGTGTGGGCCACGGGATTTCCTTGGGATTTCCTTGGGATTTCCACTGGGGAGAGCACCGAATGGCACTGGGGGAGCAGGAGAGATTGCACTGGACCAGTAAGGATGAGAAGAGCAGGCAGGGGGTTGTAGGAGCCCTGGGGGCTGGGGCACGGAGCCTTTTCCTCGGGGCAGTGCTGCTGAGGAGCTGGGTGGCCGAGCAAATACCCCAGGTACCTAACTCCACGCCTCAGTTTCCCCATAAATAGAAAAAAAAACTCAAAATATTGCCTGGTGCTCAAGACATGGGGCCATACCAGGCTGTTTTTACTTATGCTGGAGCAAGTCAGCCGCTTTCTGTGCAAGTCCTTCCGACTTGAGCTGTGTAGGAGTCAAGAAAATTGCCCCCTGACTTTTTCCTGTGGAGCCTGCAGCAAGAGGAGCTATATTTAATCTGTGATCTCGCACAGGCTGCCTCACGCAGCCATGCGAATCGGATCCAGTTTGGATTAAGGTCCAGCGCCTGGTGTGGGCCAGCAGGTTCTTTGTACCAAGACATTTAGGGTTTTGAGTGTAGCAAGGGCTCTACCTTGCTACAGCCTGCTTTTTTAACATCTTTAGGAAAACTTTCATTTTAAATTGGCGTATTTGCTTGTTTTTTAAAGTGGCAGTGACTTATGCAATCAAGGGATTGCATAAGTCAAGGAAGGGAAGGGAAGGGAAGGGAAGGGAAGGGAAGGGAAGGGAAGGGAAGGGAAGGGAAGGGAAGGGAAGGGAAGGGAAGGGAAGGGAAGGGAAGGGAAGGGAAGGGAAGGGAAGGGAAGGGAAGGAAGGGAAGGGAAGGGAAGGGAAGGGAAGGGAAGGGAAGGGAAGGGAAGGGAAGGGAAGGAAGGGAAGGGAAGGGAAGGGAAGGGAAGGGAAGGGAAGGGAAAGGAAGGACCCCAGGTCCTGAAGGGTGCCCATC